CTGTAGATCCGCCCCTGTTTCACATCATTAATCAGAATTTGCAAAGTAACTAAAATAAATGTAGTGGAGTAAAAATACCAGGTTATCTTCTGAATTGTAGTGGAGTAGAATTATATTAATATAATATATTAATGCTGCCCATTATGGATACAAGCGATTTTCACCCATTTAGTAATTACATGTTTTAAATTTGTACACACCAATTTGTTTCCTATCGCCTAAACCTCCAGGGCTGTACACAGTTTAATACTGGCAACTTCTAATTTTGGGCAAAACGAAAACGTCTTTTAAAACTACAATTCCCAGTAGAGACGAGAACATGTTGCGAAACACAATAGAGTGGCGAAGTCCCTCTCCTTCCGGGGGACCTCCATGGGACCTTATTTCTGAAAAATCATGTATTGAAGTCAATGACACAAAAAATGTGTCGTAAAACACATTTTTTGTGTGAAGCGCTCAATGAACTACCTCTCCCGTCTGGCACCACACACCAAGACGGCCGTCACGTTGGCACATTTCACTTCTTTCTTTCAGAATGAGGTGAAAAGCATTAAAAGAGGTGAAAATCACTACAAGTCTGGGCATGTTGAGAGCTGTGCATAAACACAAGGGGAGTTAGTCGGTTCCGTAAGAGCCAGCATGCGGGACCGGGATTCTGGGTTTTGTAGTCTTTCTAGTTGCGTATTTTTCATAGTCTTATACGACAGTTTTACGACAAACTGTGACTTTTTTGACATTTTTTGACATTTTTCAGAAATAAGGTCCCATGGGGCGGAAGTAGATGGGCGTGACTTCGCCACTCTATAGCCAGCATGTGTAGTTCTGGGGGGGCGTTCGAGTCCAGTTTTGAATAGTCTGCCATGGTTTCGTTCCATTTCAAAGAGCTTGACGCTCGGCGTAACCTTGGCGCACTGCCACTCCAACATCCAAATCCCAGAGCTTGAAGAATAATCACGGGGTTTGTCGCAAAGCGGACAGGCGTCGTCACAACAATAGCTGGGGATTGTGGGTAGTGTAGTCTCTTTGGCGCTCTACCCACAAGTTGTTTCTCAGAATTGAAGGGGAAAAACAGAAAAGCATTGCACACAATTTAAACCAATCAATGTCGTTTAATTAACAAAGGAAATCTGGTGTTTTTGAGTTGATGATTAGTGGAGATATGTCAAATCAATTGACAGTAAGGAGAATACTTACTTCCGGGTGTACAATTCTCCGTTATCCAATGGGAATAGCTCGCATTGCCTTTAAGTGCTGCCGACATAAACGGGTGCGGTGCTTCCATGAGCGTCAAATACCGCCGCCGATGGGAATACATTGCAATCAGTTGAAAGCACTTTGCGTCCCTTTATGAAGCTGAAGGAGCCTCGGCGCGTCCCAACTGCACGCCACGGGGCCCCTGACCATGCGTCGCTCCTGGATGTTTAGGGAGTGAGAGTGTTTGCTTATATCCCTGCCCAAGTCTTGGATAGCTTCGGCCGTGGAAATGTCTTCCTCCTCACTACCCGCATCCGTCTCCGCGTTTTTCTTGTCTTTTCCCTCGTCGTAGTTTTTTTTGTTTTCCCCAGTGGTTTCTTGTCTTTAACCCCACTCATCCTTTTGGTGTATTGTATTAAAAAATATTGTGTTTTTAAGGGGTTTTAAACTCAAATTGACTGGGAGAGTTTTCTATCTATGCCACCATCTGGAAAGGCTCACTGGAAGTCTAGTTAAGGGCGTCCCCTGCACAGCCACACCGAGCCCCCCCACATATGAAATTCCAATGTAACCCCTGGATATGAGAATACAATATCTACATAACTTTTCTACCAAAGTGTATTGACTACTTTGTTTTCACAATCAACATTTTTATTACACATATTTTGTACACAAACTTCCTACAGCAACTATAATGCTCATTTGTTAACACGTAATTTCTCGTTGTTTTGATAAAGTCGATTTTTACATATTTTCACTGTCACACAGAGATATTTAGGTTAGGATAATGAAGACTTCCGGTTTTGTTTCTATGTGACATGAAGACACATTGTTTGTTGATAATGAAATAATGATAATGAAATTAAAGAACAGCCTGTGTGTTGTTACCTGTAGCTGTAGCTCCTGGTGTATAACAGCAACAGGGGAGCTGCTCCTGCCCGGGGAAAACATCAAAGTTTCATGTGAGATGTGAGTGGCTGTGTTTGAGACCCTGTTCTGGTTTCAGCTGCGGAGACAGCCATCCTCTTCGAGACATCTTCTCTGTGCAGCGTCCTGCAGCGGTTACCACGGTGACAACCACTGAATTCAAAGCCACGGCCAAAGAAAATATGCTGAAAAGGACTGATGGAGAAGTGACACTGATGTACAGTGAGGAGGCCGGCACTCAGATCCTCCAGCAGCAGGATTCACTGACCGACTACAATCCCCTCCAATCCACTCAGCAGGACCGGCAGCAGGACCGGCAACACAACCAGAAGCAGGACCAGCAGCAGGACCAGCAGCAGGTCCAGGACCAGCAGCAGGACTCTGCAGAGAGCGTGAGGCCCTCAGAGCCCCGGCTGCAGGCCTTCACCCTGCTGGAAGTGAGCCGAACTCTGTGGATCCCCAGGTACGGAAGAGCCAGTGAACACAACACATAGACATTAGCTGGTGGAGTGAATATGATGGGTCTTCAACATTCCCAAAATCAAAACTTGCTAAACAAGTCCCAGAATACATACCTTGTATGTAACTTTACAGTACGTCCTGCAAAATTACATATTATACATACATGTACATACAAAAATGTACACACAAAATCGAACACACAATGTTGATATTATTGTATGTTCTGTAAATATGTACGTATATTTAGGGCCTTTCCTTCACTTTCAGTTCTGCACCATTAGAACTCGGGGCTAGGTAACCACGCCAATACTAAAATAATTCAAATTGTAAATGTATGGTCACAGCAGCATCACAAACTGTGACTGGAATACATCATTGAAACATAAATGACTTATGCTACTTCTTAACTTGTGTTTCACAGATGTTTATGCTGTTGTATAAAGTGTGTGTGTGTGTGTGTGTGTGTGTGTGTGTGTGTGTGTGTGTGTGTGTGTGTGTGTGTGTGTGTGTAGGCGTGGAGGTGATGTAATGGTCATTGAACTGCAGTCTCATGGTGATGAGCTGAGGGGGCGGGTCACTGCTGTCCTTACCCCCCCCGGACATTCTTCTCTGGGGTAAGATCATTTCCTGTTAATGGTTCCATGGCCCGTTTAGAAGCCGGTGCCTGATTGCGATATTAATTGTGATATTACCTGTCTATTACTTATACAGCCTGTAGAAACGCACTGTGTTTACACACATCTTAAATCTGCATGGAGATGTCTTTGTACTGTGGTCAGCTGAGATCCGATCCAATTAAATGATGACACAACTTCTGTAGCTATCTACCAGCAATAATGTTTCACATTAAGGCTACATGCCTCTCTCATCACACTGTTCAGCACACACTACTCCAGATAATTTAATATTCTAGCAACATTTTTTACTATGGAGGTACATACCAACAGATGAATTTGAACGAGAGGTCAGGCGATCAAAATGTCAATTTCCTAGTTTGTCGACAATGGGCCCTCAAAGTCCACGCCTTCAACACATTGGTGTAACACTAGAATATCACCAGTTAATCTCTAAGAACCAAAATAAGAGAAGATGGACCTTTATTAATCCCCATGGGGAAATTCAGGAGTTTAAAGCAGCAACAGTGAGAGTGGAAAACAGGACAGTACAGATTCAGACAAAAGAGCCACAGAGTCAAAGCAATTAGTGAATAATAATTACACCATACGTCTGCCTGGTTAATGTTTTGCGACATGGAGTGTAGTAGCCAAAATGTAGATTTATTATTTTTGATTATTTAATCGTTTAATTATGTAATGGAGTAGGTAATTGATTGGTGTCAGTTGATAGTGATCCGCACACGCGGTTGGGCAGAGCAGCTGATTGGCGCTGCGATTGCCTCAGCTGGTTAAAAGAGTCCTGCTGATTATACTCTGTGTTCTTTCTTGTTTGTGAAGCCACACTGTTTTTTGACCGCTGTACTGCAGAGAAGTTACGTTTTTTCATTTTATGTGACGAAATTTGCGTTTAAAGAAGAGAACGGAGAGTGAAGAAAAGTAATCGATAACATGGAAATAAATGTACCAAAAACAAACAATATATCTGTGAGTGATGTGTGAGCGCGTCAGCCAGGCGCTAAACCAAAGAACAGAAATGAGTGAAAAGAAGTGGGAAAAGATTGCTCTTTTATGGAGTTTTAAATTATCTGTAATGCATTTTTAAGATGAGCATGATTTTGATTGTTGGCCTTGAATCTTGTTATTGTTTATGCAGTCTGACTTCAGTGACTATGTTAATGTCATTGATGTAATACGAGAGACATTTCATCAGATATTGTACATTTATGGGGACCCATGAGTCAGGTGACACTACCAGTCTGACAGTGAATTACCAGCTTTAAGCAGCTGCCGACGGTAGAAAATAGTAGGCTAAAGGCTGGAGGACGAGCACATCACTGCAGTGGTCAGTACATGCTGCTGAACCACAGCTGATCACTGTAGGTAAGGTCACTGTGGAGAAGAGTACAGTTGGAGAAGTCGTGTTGCAATTCAATCTGACTTTGGAACATTCAAAGATTTATTGTCAAAGGTGTAGTTATGCAATTAATTAAAAACGTAGGTCAGAGGTTCCTAAACAATGCAATTACAAGACACACATTATTATTACTGTTATTGGTCTTATGGCCCTGAGTCTAGTGGTTTTTTTTCCTGATGCTGCGTTACCGCAGGCTTCCGTGTCTGCGATACAGGAGAACAAGCGAAACTCATCCAGAGCACACACAAACACTCACAGCCGAAGTAAAAACAATAAGTGTGACTTGATATTGAGTAAGAAAAAGGTTTATAACGCTGTTAGCATGGGTCTGCGGAGAGCATTTCTCAGCATCAATCTGCTGCCCACGTGAAGACAGTCACCAGCCACCACAAGGATCTCACACACACTACCTGCCTCAAAACAGACAGTGAAACAGAGCCTAAATACACACACACACTAATCAGCAATTAGACGCAGGTGGGGAGGAGGAGACAACACAGGGCACCAGGTGCACACAATCAACAGCAACAGACATGGGGGAATGGGAACAATTTTCAACATAAAACCAGCAAACAGAGACAGACAAACTAAAACACAGACAGATGCACACACTACATACATTTCGCCACCAACAAAGCTACACAATTCGTAACGGAGGCCAAGATCTATGGCCCCAGAGATCACCTCCGTTACAATCATAAATACACAAACAACAATGAATACTTACAGGTTGTGTACCCGAATCTCCCGCTGGTCCAAACAAAGTAGGAACAGCATCGTTCTTCAGTGCCCTACGCTGTACATATCCGGCATGAATCGCTGAAAGGATTGTGAAGCTTTGTTTCGTGAAAGTCCGCGCACACAGTACAATACTGGCTCGAACATCTGAAGGAACAGTGTTAAAAATACATTTAAACCACTGACTTCGTCGTGGTTCTGCCCTCGGTAAGGCATGCATTGAAGATTTCTCCTC